AGATACACGTGCCATGTGCAGCACGAGGGGCTGCTGGAGCCCCTCACCCTGAGATGGGGTAAGGAGGGGGATGAAGGGTCACATCTCATCTCAGGGAAAGCAGAGCCCTTCAGGAGCCCTTGAGCAGGGTCAGGGCTGAGGCCTGGGGGTCAGGGCCCCTCATCTTCCCCTCTTTTCCCAGAGCCGTCTTCCCAGCCCACCATCCACATTGTGGGCATCATTGCTGGCCTGGTTGTCCTAGGATCTGTGGTCACTGGAGCTGTGTTTGCTGCTGTGATATGGAGGAGGTTGAGTTCAGGTAGGGAAGGGGTGAGGAGTGAGGTCTGGGTTTTCTTGTCCCATTGGGGGTTTCAAGCCCCAAGTAGAGGCATGTCCTGCCTTGTGACTGGGAAGCACCATCCACACATGGGCTGACCCAGCCTGGGGCCCTGTGTGCAAGCACTTATTCTTTTGTGAAGCACATGTGACAATGAAGGACAGATGTATCACCTTGATGATTGTAGTCTTGGGGTCCTGATTCCAGCATTCACAAGTCAGGGGAAAATCCCTGCTAAGGACAGACCTTAGGAGGGCAGTTGGTCCAGGACCCACACCTGCTTTCTTTGTGTTTTCTGATCCTGCCCTGGGTCTGTAGTATAGTTCTGGAAACTTCTCTGGTGTCCAAGACTAGGAGGTTCCTCTAAGATCTCATGGCCCTGCCTCCTCCCTGTCCCCTCACAGGACATTTTCTTCCCACAGGTGGAAAAAGAGGAAGCTGCCTGGAAGTGGGGGGTGGGAGTGTGGAGGAGCTCACCCACCCCATAATTCTTCCTGTCCCACCTCTCCTTTGGTCCCTGACCAGGTCCTGTTTTTGTTCTACCCCAGGCAGTGACAGTGCCCAGGGCTCTGATGTGTCTCTCACAACTTGTAAAGGTGAGATTCGGGGGGTCTGAAGTGGGTGGGGGTGGGGCAGAGAGGAAAGGACTGCATAATAGTGATTCTTTGGGATGTTTCCAGCGTGTGGGCTGTTCAGAGTGTCATCACTTACCATGACTGACTTGAATTTGTTCATGACTATTGTTTTCTGTAGCCTGAGACAGCTGCCTTGTGTGGGACTGAGATGCAGGATTTCTTCACGCCTCCCCTTTGTGACTTGAAGAGCCTTTGGCATCTCTTCTGCAAAGGCATCTGAATGTGTCTGCGTCCCTGTTAACATAATGTGAGGAAGTGGAGAGAGAGCCCACCTCATGTCTACCGTGACCTCTGTAACCACACTCATCTATGTTCCCTCCCCAATCATCTTTTGTTTTCCAGAGAGATGGGGCTGGGTGTCTTCCTCTCTGTCTCAACTTCACGGTGCACTGAGCTGCAACTGCTTACTTCCCTACTGAAAATAAGAATCTGAATATAATGTGTTTTCTCAAATATTTTGAGGTTCATGGGTTAATTAAATAAGTGAATTCCTAAAATTTGAGAAAGGAAATAAAGACCTGAGAACCTTCCAGAATCCACATGTTCCCTATGCTGAGTCTGTTGCAGGTGGGGTGGAGAAGGCTGTGAGGAGCTGAGTGTGGACGGGGCCTGTGCCCAGCTGCTGTTGAGTCCATCATGGGCTTTATGTGGTCAGTCCTCAGCTGGGTCAGCTTCACTGCTCCACTGTCCTTGTCCCTTCAATGAAAACTTGTCCATCAGGAGCTGTGACCACAGAGGCTCAGACATCTCCCAGGGCGGCTCCTGCACACAGGAGTCTCTGTGTTTCTGAGACAAATTTTCAGACCCATTCAGCTCCTGGCCTCCTTCTAGGGCTCCTCTTCTGCTCTGCTCTCCTGCCCTCTCTCCCTGCCCTGGTTCCAGTGAGAGTGGTGCTAACTCCAATCCCAACTCATGAATCTAAAGCAGAGTCTAATTTAGACTTATATTTGTTTATGAAATTGGATCCAGCATCAAAGACTGTTCTTTCCTGAAGGGAGAAACCTGGTTGTGTGTTGTAGTGTGTGTGGGGGTTGGTGTGGGAGGAGGGGTGGAGGAGGAGGAACACACAAGCCGCCCTGCTAAGAACAGCACAGGTGGACTCAATTCAGTGTGAGGGGACCTCTTGCTGTAGCTGCCACAAAACAGTACTTGGCCTGAGTCTGTGTTAATAAAGATGCTGCCTTTAGAATGGGAGGTGTTCTATAGTGATCATTCATGCAACTGACCTTTGTTGTTGGCCATAGGACAGCATGGTTCTGCTTCTAGCGAACATCATTGAAGTAAAATGAGAAAAATAAATCTCTTACTTTTTGGAGCATGTGTTCTAGTGGGAAAAGGCAGACAATAGATACACTATAACCAGAGCAGGGAAAGAAGGTGCTAGAAGGTGGTAAGTGCTGTGAGGCAGGTGATCCAGAGTGTGGTTAGTGTGCACAGCATAGGTGGCTGTTGTGCTGGGTCATCAGTGTGTGCCACATTGCAAAGGTGACCTTTGAGGAAAGAGTTGAGGGACATGAGGAGCTGTCCAAGAGGATATCTGGGGAAGTTCTTTCCAGGCAGAGGAAACTCCAGTGCAAATGCACTAGGGCAGGAAGGTGTCTGTGTTCCCAGGAGAGCATGGAGCCCAGGAGGGCTGGAGAGAGAAACTAAGGTGAGGTGAGAGATACAGCCAGGGCAGGTGGGCCTGGAGGGTGTGGGGAAGCATCTGACCTTTGGTCTGAGTGAGATGGGAGTTAGATGACAGTTTTGAGCAGAAGAGGGACATGATACAACTTCTCTTGTAAAAGATCTGTGACTGCTGTGCTGAGAACAAAACTGGGAGCCGAGGGATGAGGAAGGCATAAGAGAAAATAGCAGGAAGTGAGTGCGGTATTCCAGGCTGGAGATGTGGGTTACCTTGACTGTGATGTGAGCAGAGGAAATAGTGAAGTGTGAGGGGATTCTGGATGTATTTTAAGATGGATTCACAGCATCTACCATGGATTGTATGTGCCGTGTGAGAAAGATGGATTAAGGACACCCATAGTTGTAAAATGAATGAGTAGAAGGAAGGGTGGAGCTGTTGTCAGTGGAGATGGGGAGACTCTGGCAGGAGCATACTGAGGAGTGGGCATCCCAGGCACTCAGCGGAGGAGATGTCTACCAGGAATGCAGGTGAGGGAGCCAGGGTGGCAGTTGGACAGACAATTCCAGAGTTTAGGGGAAATGAGAAATAGACCGGACTGTAGAAATAGATTTAGGAGGTCACACCATATAAACAATACTTAAAACTCTCAAGCATGGATGAGGGCACCAAGGCAGTGATTGTGGAAAAGTATTAGCCAAAGGACTGAACCCTGGACCTCCAGTTCTAAGGGATCTGATTAGTCCACACCAGAGCCGACTGCACAGTTCTGACCCCACATATAGAGGACACTTAGACGAGGACCTTCCCATGTGCACAGGAATCACCTGGATGTAGTGCTGAGATCCAGGAAGTCTGGAGCTGGGCAAGAGACTCGATTTTTGACAAGGCCAGAGTTCATGTATCTGGTCTCCAGATCAAGAACACCAGGATCCTACATGTCTAAGCATCAGCCTCGCCTTTAGTGCTTGTAATATAAGCACAGACGCCACTGCTCACACCTCTGACATCCTTGGTCTTGTGCGTAATACTCTTGAATATAATACTTTGGGAAGCGGCCTGAGTATTTTCTAAACCCCCACCAGCAATCCTGTTGCTCAGCCAAATTGGAAACCACTGAGATCAGAGATCAGAGAGTTCCCAGGTTGGGTGGATGGGGTGGGTTTTCAAACCTTGTTTAAAAGAGGATTTTTCTCACAGCAAGGAGAGGCAGGATGTATATAATCAATTATGATGTGATCTTCCCTGTTGATCTCTCCACCATGGGGTAGAGGCCAGGTAGACAATTCAGGATGTGGCTCTCACACAAAGAACACCTTTGAGTGCTGCCCTCTGACACTGGGCCACACACTGATTTCTCACTCACTTCTTGGAGCAAACTATGAAAATAAATTTCTGTAATTTAGACATGAAGTCATATATCTGGTGTTGGTGGTTAATTTTATTGTGGGGAAGGCCACAGAACCAGGCTAAAAACTGCACATCCAGGAACAGAATCCACAGCCCACCCAGAATCAGGTCCCTCCTGGGAACAACTGCCCCTGCTGCTGAGCACAGACACCACTGCTCATACCTCTGACACCCTGGTGCTGGACACTGGACCCTGAGGCTAGGACAGATGTCACTGCTGTACCTGGAAACTGGACATCACCACCGCCACTCAGCCATCTTTACTAAAATGCATTCTGCACAGTCTCAGCTTCTCTGAGTCACCTCATTCTGGCTCAGATTCTGGCAGTGATAGAGGAGTTAAGAAGACGTTATTTAGGCAGATAGTGAGGGTACAGAGGTCTTCAGTAAGGTTTTCCTTTTAATGAAATGCAGCCTCCAAATAATTTTCTTTTAACAAAGAGCAGCCTGTAAAATTACTACATCTAACAAGAGAGATAGACTCTAATACAGTAATAATGGGGACTTCAACTTCCAACCTCAGCATTAGACAGATCATCTACACAGAAAATCAAGAAAGAAACACTGGATTTAAACTGGACTTCAGACCAAATAAAGCTGACGGTATTTACAAAACATTGTATCTAACACTACAGAATATACATTATTTTCATGAACACAAGGAACATTTTCCAGGAGAGAGCCTATGTTATGATTCCAGCTGTTGCCTATCAACATTCAGTATGATGTTGGCCTGGGTTCGTCATAGATCATAGATGGCTTTTACTATGTTGAGGTGTGTTCCTTCAATACTCAAGTTTATTGACAGTCTTTTTAAACATGAATAGATGTTGAATTTTATCAAAAGCCTTTTCTGCATCTGCTGAGATAATCATGTGGTTTTAGTCTTTAATTCTGTTTATGTGATGAATCACATTTATTGATTTGCATATATTGAACCAACCTTGCATCCTGGGGATGAAACCTGCTTGATTGTGGTGGATAAGCTTTTTGATGTGCTTCTGAATTCCATTTGCCAGCATGTGGTTGAGGAATTTGTATCAATGTTCATCAAGAATATTTGCCTGAAGTTTTCTTTTTTTGTTTTTTGTTGCATCTCTGCCACATTTTGGCATGAGGATGGTACTGGCCTAATAGAGTGATTTAGGGAGGAGTCTTTCCTCCTCATTTTTTTGGGAATAGTTTCAGTAGGAATTGTATCATCTCTTCTTTGCACATCTAATATAATTCCCCTGTCAATCATCTGGTTCTGGGCTTTATTTTGTTTGCTAGGCTGTTTATTACTGCCTGAATTTCAGAACTCATTATTTGTTCAGGGATTCAATTTCTTCCCAGTTCAGTCTTGGGGGGCAGGGATGTGTATGTGTTCAGGAATTTATCCACTTCTAGATTTTCTAGTTTATGTGCATAGACGTGTTTATAATATTTTCTGGTGGTTGCTCATATTTCTGTGAAGTTAGTGGCAATGTTCTTCTTATTGTTTGATTGTGTTCATTTGAATTTTTTCTCTTTTCTTCTTTATTCATCTAGCTAGTGGTCTATTTTTTTTAGATTTTTTAAAATAACCTTCTCAGTTCCCTGATGTTTTGATTTTTTTTTTGTCTCTGTCTCCTTAAGGAGATAATACCTTGTTAAATTTTGTGTTTTGGTTATTTTTTGTTTTCTGCTAGCCTTGGGATATGTTTGCTCAGCGAATTTCATTCCTATCCATATTCTGAATTCTCAAGTTCTTTTAGTTGTGATTTTAGGTTGTTGACTTGAGATCTTTCTAACTTTTTGATATGGGCATTTACTGGTATACATTTCCCTCTTCACACTGCCTTAGCTTTTCACCAGCCATCTGGTACATTGTATCTTTGTTCTTATTAGTTTCAAATAACTACTTGATTTCTGCCTTAATTTCATTATATTCCCAAAAGTCACTCAAGAACAGGTTACTCAATTTCTATACAATTGTATGGTTTGAGTAAATTTCTTATTCTTGATTTTGAATTTGATTAGATTGTGGTCCAAGAGACTGTTACGACTTCAGTTATTTTGCATTTGCTGAGGAGTGTTTTACTTCTGACTGTGTGATCGATTTTAGAGTAAGTGCCATGTGGCAATGAGAAAAATATATATTCCGTTGTTTTGAAGTGGAGCCTTCTGTAGCTATCCATCAGGTCCATTTGATACAGAGCTGAGTTCAGGTCTTGAATATCTTTGTTAATTTTTCTGTCTTGATGATCTAATGTTGTCATTTGGGAATTAAAGTCTCTCACTATTATTATGTGAGATTGTAAGTCTCTTTGAAGGTCTCTAAGAATTTTCCTTATGAATCTGTGTGTTCCTGTATTGGATGCATATATATTTAAGATAATTAGGTCTCCTTGTTGAAGTGAACCCTTTACCATTATGTAACACCTTTATTTGTCTTTTTTTTATCATTGTTGGCTTAAAGTCTGTTTTGCCAGAAGCTAGGATTGCAACCCTGGCTTTTTCTGCTTTCCATTTGCTTGGTAAATTTTCCTCCATTGCTTTATTTTAAGCCTATGTGTCATTGCATGTGAAATGAGGGTATTGAAGACAGCGTACTGATAGGTCTTGGTTCTTTATCCAGCTTGCCACTCTGTGTCTTTTAAATGGGACATTTAGCCCATTTACATTTAAGGTTAGTATTGATATGTATGGGTTTGTATTGTGTTATTAGTCTGTGTACTTCAGTGTGTTTTTGTCGTGGCTGGTAACTGTCTTTTGATACATACTGTCTTTCCTTTCCATATTTAGTGCTTCCTTCGGGAGTTCTTGTAATGCAGACAAGTGGTGGTGGTAATGAATTCCTTTGGCATTTGTTTGTCTGAAAAGAATCTTATTCAGACTGGCTATTTTGTCATTCAGCTCCTGCAATGTTTTGTCATGATTTTTAGCTTCCTTGCATTGGGTTACAGTGTACTCCTTTAGCACAGTGAACTTTATTCCTATCCATATTCTGCATTCTACTTCTGTTGTTTCAGCCATCTCAGCCTTAGCCTGGTTCTGAACCCTTGCTAGCTTTTTCATTTTCAGCATTCTTGTGCCGATCCTTTTTTATCTTTGTGGGCTTATGTACCTTCAATCCTTGAGTTTGCTGACTTTTGAATGGGTTTTGTTTTTCTCCTCTTTTGTCTTTTAATAGTCTGGACACTTTTCTGTAGGGCTGCTGCAGTTTGCTGGGGGCCTGTTCCAGTCTGCAGTTCCCTCAGATTTTCCAGTATCTGGAGGTATCACCAGTGAAGGTTATGTAACAGCAGAGATGGCAGTCTGCCCCTTCCTCTGGGAGTTCTGTCTCAGGGAAGTACAGGCTTATTGCCAGCCCAAACACACCTGTAGGAGGTGCTGGAGACCTTGGTTTGGAGGTCTTGCCCAGTCAGAAGGAACAGCACTGGGGATCTGTTTTAAAACATAGTCTGGCCATGTTTTTTACAGAGCAGCTATGCTGTGCTGGGAGTCCACATTGATCCCTGGTTGCCTTGGACACTGAAGCTCGAAGACTGGAATGGCANTCTGGGAGTTCTGTCTCAGGGAAGTACAGGCTTATTACCAGCCCAAATACACCTGAAGGAGGTGCTGGAGACCTTGGTTGGGAGATCTTGCCCAGTCAGAAGGAATAGCTTTGGGGACCTGTTTTAAAACATAGTCTGGCCATGTTTTTTACAGAGCAGCTATGCTGTGCTGGGAGTCCACATTGATCCCTGGTTGCCTTGGACACTGAAGCTCGAAGACTGGAATGGCACAGTCACCCAAACAGCAAAGTTGGGGGCCCACCCCTCCCTGAGGAGCTCTGTCCCATGTAAGCTCAACACTGCTGCAAGTGGCTGGAATTCTAAGCCAAAAGAATCTCATCCTGTGAAGCCATATGGAGGTGAGGCCTGCAGATCATCACTGTTTGGCCCTGTGAATTCAGCCTCTTTCCTGGGGGTATGTATGGGGATCTAACCTCCCACTTTGCCAGAGTTGCAGTTACTTTTGCCAGGAAGCTAGAAACCTGGAGTATCTAAAGCTCCATGAGTTGAAATGTTTCCTTGATTAATCACAATGCAAGTACCTGGATGTTTCAGTTGAAAGTGCTGCATTGACTTGCACCTATCATTCCTCCCCATGAGAGAAGGTGAAAATCAATAAGTGGAATCCAGTAGAACTCTTTATTTAGAAAAATAGTAAACCAAATGCAATACTGTATTTCTGGAGGAGGTACAGAGATTAGTGCCATCATCAAAAGGGTTAAAATATGCAGCCAAAACAATTCCCATCAGCTGCAAATTCATCTCACTTATTTGATCAGTGTAGAAAACAGAGGAATCTTAAAGATGTTGATTGAGAACAATAAATTTAAATGGTGACCTTAATTGCAGCTACTGTGCCAGATGTGGTTTTATTACTTGAACAAATTAAGACGTCTCCTGTTACCTGGTATGCGGCTGTTGATATGGAAACTGCTTTTTTTCCCAGGTCCACTAATAAAGAGTACAAGAAAGTTTACTTTCAACTGCCAAGACCAGCAATACACATACACTATCCTACTGCAGGGATATATCAACTCTGCAGTTCTGCAGCTCTATATTATAATTTAGTCTGCAAGAAACTTAATCAACTTTCCCATCCACAAGACACTGCCCTGACCCATTCCATGGATGACATTATGCTGACTGGATCTAGTAAACAAGAAGAAGCAACTACTCTAGATGTATTAGAAATAAATTTGTGTGTCAGAACATAGGAAATTTATCTGATAAAAATCAGGAGCCCCCCCCCAGTGAAATTTCTAGGGGTCCAGTGATGGGGGCACATTAAGATAGTCCTTCTAAGGTGAAGGATAACATGTTGCATCTGGCTCCTCCTACAGCCAAAAAGCAGGCACAATACCCACTGCACTGTCATTTCAGAGGCAGCATGTTCCTCATCTGGGTGTGCTACTCTAGCCCATTTACTGAGTGACCTGAAAAGCTGCTAGTTTTCAGTGGGGCCCAGAACATAAGAAGGCTCTGCAACAGGTCCAGGATGCTGTGCAAGTTGCTCTGCCACTTGAATAAAATGATCCAGTGGATCCAACAGAGACTGAATTGACAGAGGCAGACAGAGACCTACTTGGAGACTTTGGCAGCCTCCTGTAAGTGAATCACAGAGAATAATTTTAGATGCATGCTAGGAGAGAAAAGGTAATGTGGCAGGACTGGAAGCCATGAGAAATGCCCTGCCACCCTCTGCAGATAACAACTCTCCCTTTGAGAAAAGCTTTCGGCTTACAACTGGGCCTTAGTAGAGACTGAATGAGTCACTATGGGCCACCAAATGGCCATGTGACCTGAGCTACCCATCATTAATTGGGTGTTGTCTGACACACAAGCCATAATGTTGAGTGTGCACAGCAGCACTCCATCAGCTAGAGGAACAGGTATACAGGAGATCAGGTTGAAGGAAGCCCTGAAGGCACAATTAAATGACACCAGGAAATGTCCCACATGCTCATGGCTCCCAGTTCTGCTACATTACCTTTCTCCCATAGCCTGTACCTAATGCATCATAGGAGAGTTCCTTAAAATTAGTTGACTCAGGAAGGGAAAACTAAGATCTGTGGATAGATAGTTCTTTATAGTATGCAGACATCTCTTCAGGGACATCCTGAAGAATTGTGTTGAAGGGAGATATTCCCAGTAGACAGAACTTTGAGTAGTGTAGCTGGTTATTAATTTTGCTTCAAAAGAGAAATGAACACAGATGTGACTGTATATGGGTTTATAGGCTATAGCCAATGGCTTGATGGATGATCAGAGAATTTTAAAGAACATGATTGGAAAATTGTTGGCAAGAGGTTCTGGGGATAAAGTATGTTGATAGACCTTTCTAAATGTGCAAAAAATGGGCAGATATCTCTTATATGACTAATTCCAAAAGGTGACCTCAGCAGGGGAGGTTTTATAAAGTGGATAGGATGACTCATTGTTTGTATACCTGTCATCCTCTTTGCTTAGTGAACTCATGAACAAAACGGCCATGGTGGTACAGGTGGAGATCATGCGTGGGCTCAGTAACATAGATTTCTACTCACCAAAGCCCACCTGGCTACAACCACTGCTGGGTACGTACCAAATCTGCCATCAGCAGAACCTACACTGAGTCTCCAATATAATGCCATTCCTGGAGGTGATTAGCCAGCTACTGGTGCAGGTTGATTACATTGAACAGTTACCATTGTGAAAGAAGCAGGGGCTTATTCTGCCTGGAACAGACATTTTCTCTGGATACAAATTTATTTTCCCTGCAAGTAGTGCTTCTGCCAAAACAATATTCGTGGACTTTAGAATGCCATATCTTCCCTATGGTATCCTACACCGTGTTGCTTGGAATCCAACAATTTATTTCACAGAAAATTAAATGCCACAATGGGTCCAAACTTAAGGAAATTCACAGGTCTTCTTGTGTTCTCCATCATCCTGAAGCAGCTGGTTTCATAGAAGGGCAGTATGGCCTTTTGATCATGAAGTTACAGTGTCAGCCAGGTGGCAATAACCTGCGGGTTTTTGGCAATGTTCTCCAGAAGTTGCATACGCTCTAAATCAGCATCCATTATATGGTCTCTTCATCCCATTGCAAAGATGCGTGTGTCCAGAAGTTACCAAATAGAAATGGGAGTCACAAGATTCACTATTACACATGGAGATCCATTTGCAAAATATTTGCCTTTTGTCCCCACAACCTTATGTACTGAGGGTCTAGAGGTTTTCTAAAGGGAGGAATGCCCCCTGAGGAGACACAGAAATGATTCCACTGAGCTGGAAGCTAAGACAGCCACCCAGCCCCTTCAGCTCCTCATGCTTCTGAATCAACAGACAAAGAAAGGAGTTACTGCACTGTCTGGGGTTATTGGTCCTGGACCTCAGAAGGAAATTGGTCTGCTACTACACAATGGCAGCAAACAAGACTATGGAATACAGGAGATCTTTTAGAGCATCTCTTAGTCATACACTGCCCTATAATTAAAGTAAATAAAAACTACAACAGCCCAAGTCAGGCAGGACTACTAATGATTCATAACCAGAATGAATGTCTGATTTGCCCAAGCAAGAAAAGAAATCTGGTCAGCTGAGGGACTTGCTGAAGGTAATGGAAATATGGGATAGTTAGTGAGAAAAACTATTTATAAATACTAGTTGTGACTGGCACAGTGACTCATGCCTGTAATCCTTGCAGTTTGGGAAGCTGAGGTGGGTAGATTGCTTAAGTCTAGGAAAGTGAGACCAACCTGGGCAACATGCTGAAACTCCATCTCTATGGAAATAAATACAGAAAACTAGTCAGGCTTGGTGGTGTGTTTGTAGTCCCAGCTACTTGAGAGGTTGAGGTAGGAGGATCACTTGTGCCCAGGAGGTGGAGGTTGCAGTGAGCTGAGGTAATGCCACTGCACTGTAACCTGGGCAACAGAACAAGACCCTGTCTCAAATAAATAAACAAATAAATAAATAAATACATAACCAGCTATAACCATGTGACCAGTTACAGAAATAAAGATGGTAAATGTTATGAGCATTACTTCCTTATGTTTTTATAATGATATTTATGTCTGTGTGTATGTATCCATACATGTATTAAGCAAATCCCTTTGTTTTCATCATTTCCTTATCATCTTGTAATAAAATATAGGATGTGCTAATAATAGTTTTTTTTATTAATGATGGTTTAATTTTTATTAAACAAGGTATTTAGGTTACAGTTTATCAAAGAGAAGAGTACATATCACATATTCAGTATGAATCTTTTTCTGAGGAAAGTGTTAGTGTGTTTTTAGTTCGATACAAGATAGCTGTATCATCTTTGACAAAAGTATGATTTTATAATCGTTTTTATTTGGAGACGAAGTAAGAAAAACGTTTATGGGTGCCAAGTTCACAAGCATGGACTGGGATGGTTGGTCTTATTTGTCAATTTGACTAAACCATAGTACCTACTTATTTAATCAAACACTAATTTATACGTTGCTATGATAATATTTTGCAGTTGTGGTTAAAATCTGATGTCAGTTGATTTTTTCTTTTTTTTTTTTTTTTTTTAGTTAAAATCTCACTTTGTCACCCAGGCTGGAGGGCAATGGCACGATCTCGGCTCACTGCAACCTCCTCCTCCTGGGTTCAACCAATTCTCCTGCCTCAGCCTCCAGAGTAGCTGAGATTACAGGCTCCCAGCTAATTTTGTATTTTTAGTAGAGACAGTGTTTGATCATGTTGGTCAGGCTGGTCTCAAACTCCTGACCTCAGGTGATTCACCCACCTCGGCTTCCCAAAGTTCTAGGATTATAAGAGTGAGCTGCTGGGCCCAGCCTCAGTTGATTTTATGAAAAGGAAATTACCCTCAAAAATGTGAGTAATACTTTTTGAATCAGTTGAAGGCCTTTGGGCAAAATGTGAGACTTTCAAGAGAAGAAAAAATTCTGCCTCAAGATGACAGTAGCAACTACAGTTTAGGTTTCCAGTCTGCCAGCCTGACCTATGGATTTTAGACTGAAGACTACAACGCTGTGTCTTTCCAGCCTGCCAGCCTTCTGAGGTGTAATTTGTGATATTAATAACATAAAACGAGGGGTGGAAAAAAACGTAAAGAAGCAGAGTTTTCATACTTGATTTAAGTTGTTTTCAATTCAAGATTGTTATAACTATATTGTTACATGTAATACCACAGTAATCACAAGGAAAATATACATAAAGTATACAGAAAAGAAAGTGAGAATGCAATTGAAACATATCACTAGAAAAAAATCAACTAAACACAAGGAAGGTTGGACTGAAGGAGATGAGGGAGGAAACAGCTATAAGACATGCATAAAACTAACATCACAATTACAGAATTAAGTCCTTCCCTATCAGTAACTACTTTAAATGTAAATGTATTAAACTCCACAATCAGAACTCAGAGATTATCACAATGGATAGAATAAAAAGAATCTTACCATATGCTGGCTATAAGATACTCACTTTGAATCTAAGAACACACACAAGTTGAAAGTGGAAGGATAGAAAAGATATTCATCAAAATAGTAACTAAGAATTTTTTTCTTATTTTAAAATATATATTTTTCTTCTTAACTTTTGTGGGTACACAGTAGGCATATACATTAATGGGTTACAAGAGATAGTTTGATACAGGCATACAATGTATACTAATCACATCAGTATCAATGGGGTATCCATCCCCTCAAGCATTTTATCCTTTGTGTTTCAAACACTCTGATTATACTCTAAGTTATTTTAAATGTACAATTAAGTTATTTTTTACTACAGCCATCCTGTTGTGCTAGCAAATACTAGGTCTTATTCATTCCTTCTAACTACTTTTTAGTACCTGTTAACTAACCATCCCTACTTCCTCCCCATCTCCTAGTATTCTTTCCATCCTCTGGTAACCACCCAACTAAGAATTTTTTATGATCTCTCATAGGGTTCGTGTGTTGGCTGGACTTAGATGATGGCCTGAGAGTTTTACATGGTTTAGAGATTGAAGTGGAAGGAACCAGATGCAAGCAGGATGGTTAACAGCAGTCCCCAGAACTGACACAACCACACTTTTGTCATATTTTATTGGCTAATGCAGATATCAGATCTGCTCGTGTTTAAGGGGGTGGAGAGACCTTACCTCTCGGTGAGGAAATGGTGAGTCAAACTAAAGAAAACCAAGTGTGATGGAAGATATTTTTGAAGCCCTCTTGGAAAAATACATGGAATCCAAAACATCCTATCTGCCAAAATGGAAGAACACCATCAAGCTTTATCCCTCAATTTTAAGCTTTGTGACTCTATAATATCCTGGGGAAGAACAGTGTCTTAGGAAGCAGATGTGGAGTTGAAGCTCTAAATATAGCCCCATCTATAGCCACACTGTCACTTTATTTTGATGAAATTTTATGTCATTTTTGATAAAATGGGGACCCACAAGTCTCTCTTCAGTGATCTCTCCAGTAGCAGGGATAATATGCTTCCCTCCTCCATAGTTCTGCTTTACAGATAAGGGGTCCAGGTCTGTTTCAATTATTTAAAACACCAGAGACTTGGATGCATGCATGCCACAAAAGGTGAAAGAATGCTCTGTCACTTCTTCTACCCTCACTCACTGCACCCTGAACAAACACTTGCTCTACCCTGACCTCTTGAATGAGGAGGCAGATCGCACTCCTGCCTAACCTTCAAGCTTCCAGAGCCAAACCTGCTGCCCAAACAGCAGGGTTCACTATAAAGACTAAATCCTACATGAAAAGCTCTCCATTCAGCCACCATGGCAGAAACTGAATCCCATGGAAAGGCCTAGAGTCACTCTGCCTTAAGAGGTCCGTTGTCATGTTCCTTCTGCCAAAATGAGGCCAACATATTCATGAAAATATGGGGTTTTGATAAGTAAAAATGATTACTACAAAAATTTAACAAATATGTTCTTTTTGTTACATCAACTGTTTGTCCTCCAAGTACAAAGAAAAGAAGCTTGCACAGCAGGAGAAGTTGTTTCCTCGTGAAAGAAGCCTCTTTCCAGTTGAAAAGCTGGAACAGGGGTCGCTAGAATGGAGCAAGACTTTCAGGTAGGACACAGCACTGGGTCTTGGGGCAGCCAGAGTTAAGGAGGGCTTACCTTCTGTGTGATACCACGCTTTGGTTCACCTTTTTTTTTTCTTCTTATTGCAAGAACAAAATTTCAGAGTATCAAGAGACAGAGTCAAGCAAAAGAGATTTACTCTATTTTATTCTTTAGAAAATGAAATCTCAGGATAATATAGACTGTTATGGGCTAAATTGTATCCCCTCAAAATTGGCATGTTGATGTTCTAAACCTCACTAACTCAGAAAGTGACTGCATTTGGAGAGGTCTTTAAGGGGGTCATTAGTAAAATAAGGACATATGAGTGGGCCCTAATTCAATATGACTGGTGTCCTTATAAAAAGAGAAGATTAGGATACAGACATGCAGAAGAATGACCATATGAAGACACAGAGAGAACACATCTACAAGCCAAAGAAAGAAGCCTTAGAAGAAATCAGCACTGCCAACACCATCACCTTTGACTTCCAGCCTCCAGAACTGTGACACAATACATTTCTGTTGTTTAAGTCACCCAGCGTGTGGTACTTTGTTATGGTCACCTTAGCAAATTAAAACAAACACATGACCCTGTGACGTGGTAAAAGTCTCATAAAACTGCATACCTCAACCATACCTTGGCTTTCTGTTGAAACTGCTCTCTGTAACCCTGATGTGACAGGTAAGCAGCCCAAATCCATGCTATCTTGGCTCCTGAGGCTTGTAATAAATAAAGTCTGTAATTTCCACCCATACCAAGACACTGTGTAAACTAATGCTTATCTTGACTTCTGTGACCACTTAAGTAACAATCGGAATGTCCAAAGTCCCCTGGCCCTTGGAGTGTCCGAAGCCCCTCACCCTCATCTCCACCCAGGAGGTGATTTACAGAATCCACTGGCCCTTGGAATGTCTGAAGCCCCTCACCCACACCCCTGCCCCTCAGCCTCACCCCGAGGTGGTTTATAGGTATAAAAGGTCTTGATACGCTCCTTTTGGGGCCACGAGTTGGAGAGACTCGAGTCCTACATGGCCACCGGCAATAAAGACCCTGCAATTTAGCATACTTTTGTCTTGGTGTGACTTTCTATGCTCACTCCAGCACAACATTTTGGAGGTCCCACCAAGATTTATCTTGGTCCATCACCAGACAAAAGCCTTCTCAGAGTCTCACCTGGGAGGCTGCTCCCACCTCAGGGACCTCTAGGGGAGGCGCCCCCTGAGACGTTCCAGGGCCCCAGAGTTCTGGCCCCATGGAGGACGGTAGACTGCCCCCCCCCGACATTCACCTGAAATTCCTCAGGGTCCCGAGAACCTGCGGAGATAAGTCAGGTCTGGAAATCAGGGATCCAGTCCATCGGGGGGCCTGAGTTGGGGGACTGGACGCGGTCATTGCAACTCTGACCAGGCAAGCCTATCGTGAGACATCACTGGAGGCTCAGGTTGCCTCAATGGAGGCTCGGGTAATTTAGTTTTCGATTGTTTTCCATAACCTTGGTGTGAGTGAGAGAGTGAGTGTGTATATATGTAGTCCCACAGCTGGAAGGCTACAGGGCTTGTATGGGCCTTCACCTGTGGTTTTATGGGGACTTCATAAGGCATAATAGCGATTCATCTCAGGACTGAAAATTCTGAGGTGACTAGGCCCGGGGTTTATACGGGTACACCTTACCCAAGATGCTCTGAAACATTCCTCTGGGGACATGTGACCGGGCAGGCATGAGTCTGGTCTCCCATCTGGGGGGCACCCATCCTTTGTCTGTCAATCCTATATGTGATTCTGTCTTTATCGTAGATTCACCAGTTTTGTTAGACTCCTGTGGGCTGATATACAGTGGTTTAGACCTGTTACTCTTGAGGTGGATAATATTCTCCATTGGCTAAGTGACCATTGACTTCAAGGAACTCTAATTGAGTTTAAACCCCTG